TGTAAATAATTCTGTTAAGATGCTAATGTAGTGCCCTGAAAATGGGTGTTTTATGTGTGATTTCGACCATGAATTTGGCCTGCTAGACTTTCAATTGTTAACCATAGTTCAGGAAAACTGCAGCATATCAAACTGAAAATGGCATGGTAGGAATGGGTGTATGGAATCAACTTTTCCTAAATGACCCACAGCAGGCTGAAGGGACCCCAGACTTGCTGAGGAAACATTTATCCTGTCAGATGGCATCGTGCCTTTCATTCACTGCAGCAATACAAGAGCTGCTATGGGCAAACACAGATATTCCCTATAAGCTTGCCTATCTGCCATAGCTGCCTGTGTGACTATCAGTCACAATATATTTCTTTTTCCCTTCTTTTATGAGACGGCTCACTACCCCCCAAAAGTGACATCATGAAAGAAAATGCCTTTATTTTCCCTTACTTAATAAGTTTGGGTTCCACAGTCGGCATCCTTCCAAACGTATTTAGTTTGAATTTCCCTGCTCAGGATACAAAAAGTGACAGGGCAAGGTCAGTGTTTCCAGAAGGCTTTTAAACAGTACCAGAGGAGAAAGTACAAGGATACATACTGATCATACTAATTAATAGGCTGCAGTCTTTCTGTGAGAATCATATAGGATAGGTTATTTGCAACATTAGCTCCTTGGGAAAGTTACAAGCCTATAAAATACCATGGATTCAGAAAACATTTGGTACTAGGTACTGATAGGGGTAGCTCTGAGCAAACACTCTTGAACTGCTGAAGAGAGGCAGAAGGCTGTTTGAATGAGATCAAATATTTTCCGTACAGACAACGGCATGTTTCATACTTCAAACTTCAGCCACAAGCAAGCTGTGCAGATTTGGACAAGTAGCAATAGGAGAGACAATAGAAGATTATGTCCCATTTAGAATCCTCTCCGAGTGTACCGAGGCTGGGAGCTATGAATAGGTTTCATATGGGGTCAGTGTTTCATACTTTCTGCTGAGAATGTAACTGAATAATTTTAACCAAAGTGCAATTAAAGTGTCCTGTGTTGGACTTTCCCAAACTTGGGTCCATAGAGAGCTGCCTGTGACTTGGTGCTGGTTCTCCTCGTTTCCAGCTTAGAAACAGAGTGGATATGAGGGGAGATGAAAGGCAGAGTTGGAACAAAGTTGGTGACTATTTTTTTTTTAAAAATGCATACACTTGGTCTGAGGTTAAGATGAAAACAGGAGACAGGCTTGTTGAAAGTCTCTGAGTAAAGATGAAATTTTTATGTCAAAAGTTAAGTATGGGGCACTTCCAGACTACTTAATTAGTCTTATTAGCACCGGTTCTACAATTGACAGGTACCTTCTCCCCCCCCTCCCTCCCCGTTATAAAAGACTTGGTTTTCCATTGGCTAGCTAACTACAAAAGCAGCTTCTCCTCTCTTGGTATTCACACCTCCAGATCAGCTGCTAGAAGTGGGCCTCATCCTCCCTGACTGGATTCACCTCATGATCTCTAGCCTTATTCTGGCCTGCATATTTATACCTGCCTCTGGAAATTTCCACTCCACACATCTGACAAAGTGGGTCTTTGCCCACAAAAGCTTATGCTCCAACACTTCTGTTAGTCTATAAGGTGCCACAGGACTCCTTGCCGCTTATGCAGATTCAGACTAACACGGCTACCCCTCTGATACTTGGTTTCTGTTATTCCTCTCCAGCTCATCATCTTATGAAGTGGGTTTTGCCCACAAAAAGCTCATGGTACTATATATATATAGTGCCTGGGAAAATAAAGCAGCAGGGCACAGATTATCCAACAAATTCTTAGAATGTATTGGAGATAATTGTTTATTTCAGAAGATGGAGAAAGCTACTAAGGGAAAGGCTGCTAAAATCTGATTTTAACAAACAGGGAGGAACTGGTTGAGAATCTGAAAGTGGAAGGCAGGGTGAAAGTGATCATGAAATGAGTTCATGATTCTAAAGAGTGGTAAAAGAGAGATTTTCAATGACGTAAAAATTAAAAAAGAATCGTACAAAAAGTGGAAACTAAGTCAAATTACAAAGCATGAATATAAACTCAAAATGCAAATATGTATGGGACAAAATTAGAAAGGCTAAAGCACAAAATGAGTCCAAACTAGCTAAAAATAAAGGGTAACAAGAAAATATTCTACAAATACATGAGAAGCAAGAGGAAGACCAAGGAGAAGCTGGCCACTACTCAATGATAAGCACAAAACGGTAACAGGAAATGTGGAAAATACAGAGTGGTTAATGACTTCAGTTTCAGTTTTCACTAAGAAGGTTGGTGGCGATGGACATCTTACATAGTGAATGCCAGTGAAAATGAGGTTGGATCAGCAGCTAAAATATGAGTCAACAGTGTGACAGTTGCAAAAAAAAAGCAAACATAATTCTGGGATAAAAATCTCAGAGGGGGAACCATGTTAGTCTGTAACTGAAAAAACAAGGAATGGTCCCACAGCACCTTACAGACTAACAAAAAATGTATGTGGCAGCACGAGCTTTCATGGGCAAATGAAAACTCGTGATACCACCTATATTTGTTACCATTCTGGGATGTATTAACAGGAGCACGGTAAGCAAGAATGAGAAGTAATTCTTCCACTCTACTTTGAATTGATTATGCCTCAAATGGTGTTTTGAGTCCAGTTCTGGGCATTACATTGCAAGAAAAAAGTGGAAAAATTGGAGACAATCCAGAGAAGAGAAACAAAAAATGATGAAAGGTCTAGAAAACATGGCAGATGAAGGAAGACTAAAAAAACTGGGTTTGTTTAACCTGGAAAAGAGAAGACTGAGAAAGGAAATGGTAATAGTTTTCACATATGTAAAAGATTACAAGGAGGAGGGAGAAAAATTATTCTTCTTAACATCTAAGGATAGGGAGAAAAAAAAGCAATGGGCTTAAATCGCAGCAATGGAGGTTTAGGTTGGACATTAGGAAAAACTTCCTGTCAGGGTGGTTAAATACTAGGACAAATTGCTTAGGGTGGTTGTGGAATCTCCATCACTGGGGATATTTAAGAGCAGGGTAGACAGACATCTGTCAGGGATGATCTAGCTGGTGCTGGTCCTGCATTGAGTACAAGGACTGGACTAGATGAGCTCTAAGTCCCTTCCAGTCCCGTGATTCTATACCTCACAAGAAGCTGTAACGATGCTGTTGGTAACACCATTAAACCCTCCTGTATTGTTCTGCAATTTTAGGAGTTGAGGTCCAGTGTATATACAAATATCTCCAGAGGCTGTCAGGAGTTGTCATGCCATCGTGTTAATTAGCAGAGTTTGATTGATCTCCCTGCTCTCCAGATATGGAAATCTACGTCATCTTGTGTTGGTTGACATGAAAGCAATCATAGCGCAAACCAATATTATAACCTCTTCTGCTCAAGAGGAGTCATGGGAGTTAGCTCAGAGAAAGGAAATGGGCTACTGGCTCCCTGTATGGCCTACAGGCCAAGAGGTGACTGAGGTAAGTGAGAGGAGCAGCTTGCAAGCTGGGCAGGGTTTGGGCACCAGGGGAGTGAGTGAGAGGTGTGGCTGCTGAGCTCTTGGACACTGGCAACAGGTGTGATCCTGGTCGACAGGTCAAAGAAAATGAAAATGGAAGGGATACCTTGGGAATGGGCTTTTAGCTTAAGACTGTTGCTAATGGCTGTATTACTGCAGTCTCCTTTAGCTCATTCAACCAGACATAATGAGAACTGGCCCAGTTGTAAAAACTTATA